CCCCAACGAAATAGAAGCGACGAGTTTACCGTTAGGCAGTAAATTATATAGATGTAATTAAGGTTTACCGAATAGCGATCTCTACGATGAAAAATGATATGAAAATCGGATTGAACGAGAATACGAGTGAATAGGCGGTATGAAGCGATGAAATTGATGTGAATCGAGGAAATGATACGATGCGATAATTTCTCTTTCGTGTCTCTTTGATATAAAACTCCGTCGCGGACACGATGCAATTTGCGGTCAAGTTTTAGGGTACATAAGAATAGAATTATATAAAGTATATATATTATTGTACGTAAAACACGCAGAAGCAAGTATGTTTAAGGTTTGACTCGAGCGCATACATAAGAAATAATGTATTATAAAATATCGTATCAAGGGTGCCCTTTTCGCGTGCAACAATTTTTTTTTGGAAGAGGATCGGTCGATAAAACAGGGCGGATCTAGGCGAGAAAAAAAGGAAAGATAGATCCGCGGCAATTGTACATATATGCGTGAAATGAAATTCGATCATGCGAGCCATGGCGACGCGCGTAAAAGAGAATATTTTGTTATGTAAAGAAAACAAAATGACAACTGAGAATGGCGAGGAAGAAATTCATTTTGGGATACAATATGGCTGCTGCGTATTTTCAAGCGCACGTTTCGAGTTATCGTTTGAGACGATCCGATCGATATATGGGATCTTTCCGCGGCCTCAAGCTTGTAAAAAAGAATGAAGCGAAGAACAGAAGGAACGAATACGGGTGGCAATGAGAAACAAGATGGACGCCGTCGTTACGCGCAAGAACGAGATTTCTTTATCATTCCGAGAGATGGAGCAGCGGTAGCTTGGTCACTTTCACATTTCAAAAACGACGAACACGGTATACCGAAGAAGCACGAAGAGGTACATTCCGGTTTGTAACAGATCGCCAATCTTCTAAGATGGCGTGTACAATTTACCAGCAAACAATTCGCACCGAGATATATGGAAGAGAGAGGGAATCTCGACTGGGCATATCGATTCCTGTCGAATTCTTATTTCTTCGAATGATTAAGAGCGGGGAAGGGGGGAGACCAAGATGAAGCTAAGAAGACAAAGAACGATGGCAAGAGGATAACGGGAGAGCTAACGATGGCGCGATCAACGAGAACGAATGATTATCGATTGGCCACCTTCCGACGCGCATCCCGTTGTTTTCTTGACAAAACAATCGTCTCGTGTTTGCGCGTCCGACGTGAACCAGGAGTGAATTGAAAACAAGGAGAGGAAATCAGAGGGAAGCATATACACGAGACAAGTTATGTTCTCGTGCAGGTACTGAAAAGACTCGAAATTTTTTCGATCATATAATAAAAATAATTAATAATCGTCCACTAATGAGGTTCGACAGAGGAACAATTATTTTTTGCCGTTTTTTCTCGTATCAGAAGAGGAAACGTCTCGAAGTTTCCACCGCCAAAGCGACAAGCAGCTACGGCCCAGCGAGATGATTATTGCGAACGGCGATGATGATATGATCCTCCGGAAAAGGGAGAAGGAATGCAACTAAGAAAGAGAGCCAGTAAGTACTTGGAGAACAATATAAGGTGAGGGAAGATATATCCAAGTCGTACTTAAAGCATAATCGTTTATATATCGTAATTTTGGTACTGTTATTCAAGTACGTATACACGCGTTTTTGCAAAGAAAGTGTATATTGAGCGCGTGATCAATGGACGAGGAGGAGAAAGTACGAAAAAGATTCAAAGAAGCGATTGTCGGCGATAATAGCATGGAAGGTAGAAGAGGGGATAAGTGGCAGCATCACGAAGCGAAAGATTTATTACAGGCAGGGGAGAGGAAGTATTTAATGTCTTTCAAGGTCGATCATTGATGACGAAGAAGCAGAGAAATGGATTTGAATGACGTTGGAGCGAATGTGAGAGGATTTCTAAAAAACCATCAGAAAAAATGTCTTTTCAAGAACAAAAAGCGCCAAAAAAAATCAATGTATAAAATCAGTGGAGAGAGTGTGTGTGAGGAATAGAACGAATGCAGAGAGTGACTGAAGATAAAAGTAGGAAAATATCGACGGAGAAGTTTAAAAGCAGAGCAGGAAAAGATATCAGGAGACACAAGAAAGTAAATAGAAGGTTGGTGGAAGTGTTGATGATGTGCAACAATCGTCGAGGAGAAGCTCAAATGCGAGTAAAGAAAACTTAGAAGAAGATAAGATTCTTGGATCCTCTTCCATCTAGAGATAAGGATTTGGTGCGAGAATCTTCTTGTAAGAAGTTAAAAGCAGAAATTTGTGAGGTGATTTGTGAAATTCAGAATTGACTTCTTTGAAGAGTATTCGAGTACAGCACAACTACATATACACATTCATACATACATACATACATACACATGAACGTACAGCGCATCCATATACACACGTATATACATAAGAAGAGATGGGAGAAGCAGAGCCGAGCCGAGCGGGTTTATCGTCTAAAAAATGTGCATTTATGTGAGTCATATGTGCAAAATTCAAATAGAATGAACACTGGACGCACATATTTACTACTACCACCGCTATTTACCCGTATGTTGCGGTATATATTAATGGAAGTAAACGCAGAAGTGCGAAAACTTTCGACAGACTGAATGGAGAGAATATATTCAAAGAGCGAGGAAGAAAATTGGTGAGCGACGGAACGCCTGAAAATTTTCTCAACAACCAATCCTGTATACCGTTTATCACATTTCCAAAGACGATATATACAAGATAATATTACACACACGTGTATACGCATACGCTACAATTGAAATTCCCTAGCGTTTGAAAAGATCTATTTCCTTTGAAGAAAAATTGGAAGAAGAAAAAATAGTGCAACAAGAGAAAATTTTTAATGTTTCCTGGCATTGTAGACAATCCTGTCTTTTTTCTATCTATTCTTTTTTTTTATTCCTTTCCCTTAATCTCTTTCACTTTGACCGTCCTTTCCTTTTGATAATAATGGAAGAAAAACTGTTGGCCGAAAGTGTATGTAGCAAAGAAGCGTTCAGCTTCGTTCTCAGACACATTTCAACGATAATATCATCAATCCTGTTCCTGTCTATATACTATACTTTACACATATTACGCATATCCCGTCCACATTTCGTCTTTACTATCCCTTTTTCCTTTAGGGCCCTTCTCAGGGTCCGCAAATACTTCATACATGGAGTAGCAACTTCTCAAGTAAACTAAACAAACATAATTTGTTCTTTTCAGAACAAAAATTGTTAAACGTCCTTCTCAGGGCGAGAATTCAAAGCTGCCATTAATTCCTGTCTGTATAATCAATTCCTAAAATTATTTTCAGGAAAAAATTTGACAAAGTACAAATAAGAGTATTTTCCAAGATGAAAACTACAAGTACCTGATGAATTGTGAACATCTTGTTTATTTTACATTATTTTATTTTAATATGTTTAGATTCTACATATGTTCAATACATATTAGGTATGTATACTTACATGAACGTAATACTTTCAAATTAATTTTATTTTTATTTTAGCATCTGCCAAACATCATTAATATACAAGGTTAATACTATTTGATAAATACTTTGTGTTAAAACATGAATAAGTCATTTATATGGTGGATAAATTTACAAGTATCACTGTGCAACTCGACTGATGTAAGCACATCTGCATAAAACCCAGGAAGGTTATAGAAGAGATCCGCTATAGAACGTTCCGGAAGTTTGTGTCACGTATTTCACTACTAAAACTAAATTAAGTTTCGTGATTTCTCTAACCTCTTTTTTCTAAAGTATATTAAAATTACTCTTTCTAAATGCACTATAACAAATTATTGTACTTCTATTTTTATTTTTTTAATTCATTTCGTTACTTTTTTAAAATACAAATTGAAATTTGTATGTATGAATACAAAATTTATTTATCCCAATTGTGTGACCGTATTTTACAATTTTTTGATGTCTCTTTAGATATCCACTGGACACCATTTATGACCTATAAATGCTTAATTGAATTTTCATAGTTTAATGTTGTATATGTAATAACAAATAAAAGATATTAATAAATGTAAAAGTTTATTCATAAAGATGTTCTAAACAATAGTGAAAACAGTCTACTTCATCATCAATGTGACTCTTGTAGAAGCTTATCTAATTCTTGATTATCATTATAAAATGTAGTAAAAGTACTTTGTAAAATAACATGGTACGTTGGCCAAGGAAAATATGTAAATTTATTCAAACAATAGGATTGATATTTTTCTTCCGTGACATTTTATTAATTTTATCTTTTAGAGAAAAACATGATTGTTTGTATTTTTCCCACTATTCTTTCATTGTTATATAATATCTTTTATCATATATTTTCACGTATCTTGTATATTTTGAATTTATATGTAAAACATGATCAATATATAACACATTAAAATTCAATACAGATATATTTTTTTACTTTTAATAAGAAATTCAATTAATAAGAATTATAGGATTACAAACGGATCATATCTTAAACATGTTTTTATGTTTCATACTTTTACGTAAATGTGACGTCGATAGTATGGATGAGTAATCAAGCTAAAACGTCACGAAAGGAAGCGCGTAAACAACTGTTATAATTTTATTACTTCGAGAATTAACTGTTATATGTATGATACTGTTCATAAATATATTTTTAAACAAAAGTAATATTTGTTTTATAATCCTTTAAAATATATCCTTAATTACCTAATTTCTTTTAAGTTATGAAAATAGAATTTGTATGACAGTCTCATAATATGATTTCGCTACAAATTTTGGTAATGACATACTATCGATATTGTAGTTAATTTTGTGACATATTGTTTTGTTTTTTGAAGAAATTCAAAATTGAAGAATATATTTTGAAAATGTCTTTTGTATAAAATGTAATATACATTTTAGTATACAATAAATATCTTTATGTGCATTGCAAAAAAGCATTATTAGTAATATCATACCTGAAGAAAAAAGTAGTTTTATAAAATATATATTTCATATTATTATTATAATAATTGTCTTGGGACTTTCCAAATCTCTATATTTCCTTGCGTATCGCCAATGGCTACCATATCTCTATAAAATCGGTAAAACAATATAATACAGAGTACTAATTACATATTTTTAATACTTACTTCTTGAAATTTACACGTAAACAGCTAGTGTTTTCTCTATCAGCTTTCTCAAAATTTACATTTGTCACAGATCTACCATCTGTGACGTTGTATAATCTAATGTTCGAACCAGCACCATAAGTTGCTAATATGTCTTGATTTCCCATCATCCACGTTAAACCTACGATCGTATTTTCAGAAGAAATCGATCGTAGGCTCGTGAGCTATATTACGTAAATACCTTTATTCGTTATGATATTTAAAAATCAATAAAGTAAGATAATAAACTTGTTACCTCTTCAAAATCATATATTCGAATTTCCTTATCCGTACCAGCCGTGACGAAAATGTTACGTATTGGGGAACATTTAATGCATGTAATGCTACCTTCATGACTTTCATACTCACCTATCACAGGATCCATTACTGTTTCATCATCTGCAATTAAAAATTGTGTGTTACTTTAATGTAACGGAAAGGAGTTTAATAATTTACAAGAAAGATTCATACTTTCGATAGGCGCGACACGATCTAAACTACATTTATATATTCCACCACATAAAGTACCCACAATAAAAAATATGGGATCTCTGGAGGAAAAATCAAAGGCAGTAATACATAAACCAGATTCCATCGCACGTTCACGAGTTCCACCTGCGCTACGCGGCCTTGAGTTTTCTCTTGGATTATATTCTTTGACTATTTTCAGTCTAGAAAGGTATAATATGATGGTAAATATTGTTAAGAATGTATTAATAATTCTAAACAAATTACCGTTTAGATACACGGGAAATATTAGAAACGGCTATTTTATGCATAAAAATGTATCCATCTTTACTAGAGCTTATTAGGAATGATACATTTACAGTTCCTGCTTTCCAGTACACTTGTGATATAGAATCCTCATGATGGCAAATTATTACTGGTGCTACTGATACATCATTCAAGTTCCATAGATGAACATCACCTTTTAATAAATAGTATTTACAAACATTTTCTTAGTTTATAAATATATTAATCCAATAATTGTATAAATTACCATTGAATAAGCCAGCTGCTATAATGGATGGTCTAGTTGGATGATAAGCCAATGAGGTTACACATGCACTTGGTAGTGATTTACAGTCTTCCTCTGTGAAATTACCTTCTTTCGTTTGGCTGTACAATTGTATTTTAAAAGGGTGAAAACACAATGTTTCGTGATAAGGAATACTATATGAAACCGCTAATGTTCTTCCACTAATACTCCAACTCATGTCACTCACTTTCATCTAAAAGTATCAAATAATATAAAAATTTCAAAGCTCCATAAAAGATTCTAAATACCTTGGACTTTGATTCCATGCTGCGAATCTTCTGTAGAAATTGCGTGCTTGTGAGTGAATTTTCTTCTGTGTTTGGTTCATAATCTTCAAATGAATTGGTTCCATAAGCTTTATCAAGTACTTCTAATACATTTGGTGTAACCTTATTTAAAAATTCTGCAAGTTTTTCATAGTTTATCTCTGGTCTCATCTTTTCTACACTAGTGGTTTGAATCTAAGAAACATGGAATTGGTATAGATAAATTTCACTTATATGCTGAAAAAGATGTATATAAGTTATAAATACTTCAACATCTCTTGTTTCAACTGCTTGTGCAGGAGTCTGATTATAAACAATTTCTGTTGTTTGAATGTTCGTTGATAGTTGCGATCTAAACGATGTTAAACAATGAAAATAAAGAATTATGAATATTTCATAAGTTTAAAAATGTAAGTGATTTCAAATACATACTTGGTAGTAGACAACTGTGAATTGAAACTCACAGCTTCGAGTGAACGATTAGTGAACATTGTTAATTTAAATAAGCTGTTATTATAAAATTTGTACTTTGAGAAGCGTATGCAATTATTTATTAAATTTGTAAAGTTTTTATTAAACCTTTTATCAAAAGATAAAAATGGTAAAGCCTTGTTAACTAAGTGTTGTTTTATTCGGCAAGTTTTGTATCTGGGATGTATACGAAGAACTTACAAATATGAACAGCTGATGGATATTATAGCGCCATCTAAATACAACTATTACTATCAAAAATAAGTGCATAGATGGTAAAGAAACATGCAATATGAAATTTAAACCGTACTACACATTTTCATTTCTTTAAAATATTGTAATATAAGTTTAAAAATTTTTAATATTACTTCTGTCCTTTAAAAAATAATGAATAGTCCTAATGTTTTTCTTACTATTTAAATACAATCTATCATAAGTATAAAAAAAGTAATAAAGGAATGAACGAATAAATAATACATACAAAATTACAAAGAATTTTAAAGATTATGTAAACTAAAAAAGTAGTTTAAGAAAATGCAAATTGAATGTTATAATTAGAAATGATAGGAACGATAAGAAAAGAAGATTGGAAATTGAATGTTATAATTAAATTTGAACTATCATATGTTAAAAAATAGTAATAGTAAACTAGAGCATGTAAATATCATAAAAACTCTATGAGTTGTATATTTCAATTACCATTCATTGCGCGCGCACATTTCATGGCGACGGTGTCGTGTCGTAGTCCGTCAGTCAGAGTACTGCCCTCCGTGGTTTTCCAAGGAAAACTTGTCGTTCAGTGATCAATTGTGCCCTATTTCCACGTTCCGTGTTCGACTAACAAGTCGAAGTTGTTTTTGACGGACCTGTTCTATCAATTCGCCAAGACGAAGCTTAAAATGCTATTGGTAAGTTCGTCCACCTTCTATCATAGTTTTTCTTTCTTCCTTTTACCATTGATCTGTCAATGATATATTTTCGTTTCGTCACTGTTTTCGATGTTCTATTTATTTCGAATTTAGATATTGTAATTCTGGGTTTCGTTGTCACTCAATTATTGATAGACTTTGGATTTATCATGTACGATTTTCAATAATATAGTTTGGGTGCGGTTTTGTGGTTAGATATACGAAATGTTTTTTAAGTTGAGGAAAGCAATATTAAATGTAAAGAAATTAATAAAAAAGTTACTTTTTATTGGTCAAATAGAGATTTTAATAAAATGTTTGTTGGATTTACTTTTTAGGGCAATCACGCTGCCCTTACACCCCTGGAGGATATGTCAGCTGGTCGAGGGCAAGCAGGCGAGGGGCCGCCTCCGAATTGTCAGAAAGTTTTTATAGAACGTGACTACAGTGAAGGCACCATGGTTAAGTTTCAAACACAGTTTCCCACGGAATTAGAGAGCAGAGTATGTATTAAAACAAATTTATTTATGTTTTATTAATCATAAAATGTAGTTTTTGAAATGTTTAAAATGGAAATCAAATATTTCTTTTACTGTCTTTTGTTTAACTATAATTGTTGGCGAAATATAATTTCTGTGGTTTTCTGTGCTTTTTATTATGAACTTCTTCATATTAATCTATTATAGGATCAGAAGGTGCAGAAGCATAGTGATATACTTTATTGAGCTAATTTTTTATCCGTGAATTAATAGGCAATAATCTATCACTTTATATTACATTTATAAGAAATATTTTTGCTATCTTATTTTTCAATTTAGCTGGACAGACCGTTGTTCGAGTACACGATCAATCAGTTGAACAACTACTTCGCAGAAGCTGAACGTGCCAGTTGTTCCACATATTGCGAAGGCTGCCTGGCTTGCCTTACTGGTTATCTAATTTATATATGCACAGAGACTCATTACGAGAAGTGTTTACGAAAAGTGGCAAAGTTTATTAGTGAACAAAATGACAGAGTCTATAAGCCACGTGGGCTGTTATTAACAAATCCAGTAATGCGTGGTCTTAGGCTAATAGAAATTTCAGTATTAGACAGACCTGCGTCGTGACTACATATTAGCCGATCCAGGGAGTTCTTTATGTGATCCGCGCACTTCTGCCACTTTGCTGGGATTGCAAAACCCCTGGTTTTGGTGGGATTGAGCTGATGAGTGTCTCTGAACATAAATTTTGTTCAAGCTCTGATCCTATTTTACAGTTTAGTTTGTGAATGTGAATTTTGCACAGATTCACAGAGTAAGAAATAGTTTACATTTTCAGTGAATAGTTCTGTAAACATACATGCAACGTCTTTACTAAATATTACGAATGAAAGTTGTTTTCTTTGATATAGTACATCACGAGAAGCAATTCTTTTGTTCTAGAGAAAACTTTATGCTCCATTTGGTGGGACATAACAAATTTGATTGACTCTTTATACGACTTTAAGTCGCAAAATAACAATAACAAAAGTACATTTTCACAGGGTTTTGTCTGCAAACAAGGACACAATTAGTCTTTTTGCATGTATGTTTTTGATCAATTGGTATTGTATCTAGTGTCCACGCACTGAGTTCAGACAAATCGTGGATGCATTAAGGCCATGGCGTTGTATAAGTTCAATTTTTTTATGCATTCAACAATACCAGTGTAAACAGTCAATGTAAAGAAACTGGATGTGTATTTATCGAGAATAACTACACGTTTTATTCATTAAATGCGTAAAACTTGAAACTTATACATAAACTTTGCACACACTCGGTTTCTTTGCATATTAAGTAACGTTTAAAAAGTTTTTTACTGTTCGTTTAAGGACTTTATTGTCATCTGCATTTAACAGACGACACATGTGAATCAAATTCGAGTTCTATATACTTGTTCAATAATTAGTCCAGAATTAGTTTCGTCTCGAATTTGATTCTACATCGTCGTCAAGTACTGAGAAACATTTATTCGCGTCATTATAAGTTTCGAATGCTTCGTTGAACTTCGTTAAGCTTAACTCTTTTACGTGTTATATCTTCCACGATGCTTCCGTTCCACGACCATATCTCATGAGTTTTTCTCATTATCTGTGAACACGCGACACGAGCCTAGGGTTTCACTTACTATGGATGTGACACCTCTCCGGAACAATTGATCAGATTAAATCGAAATTTAACTCGCTGGCACAAAGTTTTTGCGCTAAGAAATCTCCGTTGGATTGGCTATAAGGGTAAATTGTACAAAAAGAAAAGAAGAAAATGAAATAAGGTGAATTATTAAAGAGGTGATTATTAAGTAGATTATATTGTATCGAATCAATGTGACGGTGCAAGCATTGTGATTAAGGATGAACCACGATTGACGCACCGGGTTAATGGTGTCAGTTGTACATAATTATATCGCGTTGTGTGTGATCCTTTTGTTTTATATTTTTCTACAAACCGCGTGAGACTTAAGGAATTTTCTTGTTAAATATTGCATCCGTGTGTTCGATTTTCTCATGGACCCTTTCTGATTTGATTCGTTTGAAGGAATGATATGATCTCAATCGAAGAGCCACGAAACTTTCCTTCTCGTATCGTTTTGTAAGATGTTTCGATGGCTGTTTCAGTACCCAGATATACTTATTACGTCACACAGGGCAAACATTCATATTTTACTATATCTAGGGTAATTCGGTTTCGTCCTTGGTCACAATGATCATAGATGGAGCCTGCTCCACATAATTGTACGACAAGGTGAAAGAGTCTCGCCAAATAGCCGCGCCACTGCCTCGACATTTTATCTTGCGTTTATTAAGTGAATGAATTACAAGATTATAACGAAATCTTGCGTATAAGTAATATTTTTTCGTCTCGTAAAAAATTTGTCGGACAGTGTCGTAGTGTTACGCGTATCAGGCTCCCTTTTCTTTTTTCCTATGCAAGCGAACGTTGCATAATGTGAAAATAGCGAATTAATCGTCAACACACGGAGTATGAAGAGAAAAGACGATAAAGAAGGAAAACCGTTTGTTATACTTAATTTAATCGTAGGACCAAAAACGTTTGATGATTCGTTACTGTGTAAAGGACACCATCGTTCGAGTGTAATTTCTAAACGTTTTAATAATAAAAACTGCGTAAAAGTCACGGAGCCAAAGGACTACTCTTCAAAATTAAGAAAAGAAAAAAAAAGAGGAAAAGGGGGAAAAAGGTGATTTTAACGTAATTTCTGAGTCGTGCGTCACTGGTAGCTCGCAATAGTTATCGAAGATAAAATATTCATTGTTGGCTATCAGTGACTCACCTATAATCATCGAAAATAAAAATTTCTCCGTGCATCATTAGCGACACCTGATAGTCACTCAAGGTGGAATTTTCATTAACCACAAAAATGTCCTGTGTGTGTCAAGAATTCAGCACTACCGCGATTTTTCTAGAATAAAATATCCTAACGTATTTTTCAATCTAATTCTTTCAAATTTAATTTTTCTATTCAAAATTTCCTAATTTTCTCAGATCGACCCGCATCGCGTTAAACGTATTACATTTCGATAAATTTATTCATAAGGAAAATGGGAAAAGGAGGTCGATTAATTACATGGTGCTTTGAGCACATTCAGATTTTATTTAGTCGTGTGCGATAGTCTCTGACAGGCATGTTCGTACACAGTAGCTATATCAAAAGACTAGAAACCAAGTCTCACTCTTGTCGCTGAATTCTCATATTTGTTTTTTGGTTTTTTGTTTTTCTTTTTTTAAATTCTTTTTTTTTAAAAAACACCGCACTCGAACTATCCTGAATATTAATTGATTTTTGTATATACTAATAGCACAAATCGTCCACTTGTATTGCGTATCTCTCTTGTTTCTTCTTGTTTCACCAAGAAATACCTGTTTTGCCAACGTCACTGCCGTCCGAGACGGGATTTTATACGATTCAGTTTGGAATAGTTTACAGTTTAATAATCGAACAGAAGATACATCGATTTCTCATGCGTCTTTCCTCGTTTCATTTTCCTTCTCTGGCTATTGAGTTGCCAAGCAAACAGTGCGGTATCGACGTCGAAATATCAACACCAGAAAAGGCATACGCGACGACGAACGGAGAAAGGAAGAATAGAAAAATAAAATCACGAGTTACATCCTCGTGTCGCGGTTGCGAGATCGTTTGTTTATTTACTGCGTCAAACACGCAATGTTCGAAGTGACTGAATGACGCAACGGAATCGTCCGTTCAATCATAGGCATTGATTGGCTGTGGATAATCCGTTCGCGTTTCTGATTGGTTCCTCGCGTCATCCGAGAAACACGCGAAGTCAAGATGTACATAATTGTCACCGGGAATCGAAAGTTTTATTCTCTTCCCGCTTTTACAATTTTCCCCTATCCTCTCCTAATTCTTCGATTCCATTGGTATATAAAAATGCCCATATTTTTGGCTACGCTTTTCTTTTTTTATTTCGCATTTTATAAATCGCGATATCCTACGGTCATATTTTTCCTCCATCGATTCTATCCGCCGGATTATTCTAATAAGGTATCGAGATGTAATACAAAAAAGATTGTCAAAATTGAATCCGTACTATCGCCGACCTCTCTGCGTCGCGTTTCTCTCTCTCTCTGCACGGTAAATGTCGATGAGGGTCGCCTAACTTGTATCAGGTCTAACTACCTAGCCATTGACTACTGGTCTACCGTTTCGCCTAGAGACTGGACAGTCTTGAAATTAAATTTGCAAGCACCTTGGACATTTTGACTCGGCCATACTAAATATTTCCCTCGTTCACCCGCAGGAAGCAAACGATCCCACGTTGCTCCACGATTTCGTAGCTTCTGCAGATGCAGGATTTCTCGAGGCAGATAAGTATAAATCGTAATACCTCTGCAAATTTCAAGTATCACGTTCCTAATTCGTTCCTCCACGAATTCTGTCCCACGAGTTCATCTTCGTTTTCCTTCAAGGTCATCTTCGTCCTGGTCGACCAATAACTAATCGCAAGCTGGCAAGCTAGCCAACTGGGGTAGACTTGCATTGCATCCACCAGAGCTAATCGCAACGATATTTCTCCACGAAATCTCCAATTATCCCTTTCATCATTCCGGAATACTCTCAAGAGTGGTCGATGTAAATCGTCAAATGAGCAGACACAGTTTATTGCGACTCTTTCTGTCAGGGATCAAAGCCTTCGACTTGGCAGCGTCCTCTGGCGTGCTCCTTGCGTAAAGCGACCTGCTGATCCGATGTCTGACGCCTTTGCTCAAGGTACGACCCCCTTTTCTCAGCGAAGCGAATCTTCCCAACGTGGACTTTTCAGGAATCTCTTTTCTGTCCACATGGGCGCAGTTTAAGGTCGTGACAGTGAATTCGATGTCCTTGGGCTCATAGGAGACGAATTCCTCGACTGGTTCGTCGATGGTGTCCCTGTCGATCCAGGTGAGACCCATCTCGACCTTCTCGGCTAGGTCTTGCCAGTGTTGCCTGTTTTCCATGGTACCTTCGTAGAGCGGCATGATCCACGGGAAGGTGTCGGAGAGGACCTTGTAGAGAGGTAGACATATCACGTCGATGAAACCCACTTGCATCTGGGGTAGCTCATCCTTTCTTTCGCGATCCATCATGGCGACCGGTTGTTGGTTTAATTGCAGACGTTCCAGATCGCCTTGGTCGAAGAACTCGTCTGCGACTAGTTTAGCCACGCGATGCTGGACGTCCCACGGCTTCGCGATCGCGCTTACGTCGCAGGCTGTCATCATCATTCCGCAAAGCACTAGAAGTAGAAAGTGAGAATTGGCTACTTGTAGGGAAGTAGTTAGGTTTTAAATTTAGGACTATTATGGTCACGAGGTAATCAGAATTTCGTTTTGGCCTTATTGAATGTTGATTATGCTTAGGTGTAAAAATTGTCACTGCTGGATACTTGTAGGGAAGTAGCTAGGTTTTAGATTTCGATTAGCTATGTATTAGATCTAGTGCTGTTGGGAGATAATCAGAATTTGGTTTTGGTATTATGGGTCGGGTTAGGACTGTGACTTGTCCGAGTACTTACAAGGAATTGCTAGGTTTCTCAATTTGGATTCACTACGGATATAGAACGATAGAGTTTACGATTATTACTGATGATCAGTCTTACGTTCTTTCTTTTCCTCGCTCTGCCAATCGAACTCGCCCTCGTCGATCAGTTCCATGAACCTGTTCTTCTTTTTAAAATAAACTGCCAAATCAGTAGAGAGTATAGCGCTTTCTACTACTTTCATCACTCTTCTGTAATCTTCCATCGATAGACTCTGAAAGATGTTGTTGCTGTCCGAATTCAGGATCATGACACACTGGTCGAAATGATGATGCTCCATAGTGCTGGTCGAGTACAGAATAGCCAATGGCGATTCCGTCTTTGTTTGAAACGCGTTATTGGTTCCTCGATGATCCAGGTCGTGGCAGAGACACGCCACCAGGAGTCCAAGGATTTCAAGGTCCGTCATGAATTGCTCCATCTTGCCAGTTTTCAACATGGCGAACATCGTCTGGGCGACGTTCAACGCGTGTCTCCAATTGTGGTACTTGACTGGCCTAAGAACAGGATGAAAACAGGTAGACGAATCGAGGTACCAACTGTTCTTGAAACACACTGTATGTCAAAGAGATTCTCACCTGTAATTCTTTTTCACGCTAAGGACCCATCTGCACAGCACTTCATAGGGGATGTGAAATTTTTGGATCAGGTCACACTGTTTGAACATCCTGATGGTGGCCCTACAGGTGTCTTCGTCGGTCAGGTCGAAGTCGATGAAGGTGAAACTGAACAGATTGTAGGTTTCCGCGGACGGTATCGGTTCCGAGGTCAGTTTCAACGTGTCGTCGTTACTGGCCGTCGCGTGGTAGCTCAGACATTCGAGAGCTACCTTCTGCTTGGCCATTAGCTTGCAAGCTGACTCGTACATTTGGGTATTGTGGATCCCAAGACCACAGAAAATGGCGAACGCCTCGAAGATCGATACGTCAGAGTCCGTGAAGGATGTTCCATTGTCCTGTAGATCGATTTCCGGTTAGCTCCGATACTTTTAAAGTATCGAAGGATATTGGATTCTATATTAACACTAGAACTAGCAAACCAGCCAAAACGATTGGTATCAAAATTAACATTGACTCTAACGTGATCCATATAATTTCCTTCAGCTGTACGATACTGTGACACTGTAATTATTATCTATTTAGGTGCACATTACAAGTTGATAGTCCTAGTGTCCAAATACTCCATTCGAAGTATCAGCGTCTATCTTTCATCAACGATCAGTTTAATTATATCATTCACGCTCTCTCTCTCTGTCCTTATTTAGTAACTGAGCAAAGGAAATGCCTATTTTAATCGCTGTATTTCTAACTAGTAAATGGACATACTCTGTGTTTCTTTTCTATACTTTTCGTTTTGTAACAGAACTTTTATTTCGTAACGAGAAAATGGAGAGTAACCTTGTTGATTAATTGAGCGACACCGATCACAGTCCTCTGACCATTAACTATGGGCATGCAGAGGATGCTCTTGATGGGCTCACTTCCGGCTTGAACGACGTCCTTCTTCAGCCACGTGGCCACGTCGCCGATATTCAAGATCTGGCCAGTGGCAGCTACGTATCTGGCGATCTGACCGAGAGGATTCGACAGATCGCTTCCGCTAGGCCTGTACACTTTAGCTTCCTGCGTCTCATTGTCCATCTCGAAGATCGTGGTGAATTTGTTCGCGTCGTTCAATGCCTAGGAACCCAGGAGAACATGCATTTCCTTGAATATTTGCATTTCGATCGTCTATAGCAACGACTGCTTTGTCTTTCTAGGAATTTACTCACGTGCTGTTGGAAAATGTCCTCCATCTCGATGTTGTTACTCTGAGCCGCCAGGAAAGAAGAAAAAGATCATCAGACTTACGAACTCGAGTAACACGTGCCGGTGTCACTCACCTCTCTCCTCGACAGCGGTTTCCGGCACTCTTGCGTCGATTTTCCTGGTCGTTCGACGATCTTTTCGAGGTGTCCCTGAAACGAAACTTGGCATCTCTTACGACGCTCATAGCTGACCCTGGAGAACTTTGTCTAAGCGTATTTGCTAATTTTATTCGCGCAATTTTTGTTATTTTTATTCGATGATTCAAGAGATCGAATTTGAAATTGACGATCTGGTTAATTTGCAGCATTTGCCAGGGATACTATTCGAATGAACTTACTGCCTCGCCACAGTCAAGATCCAGAAGACAGACGGCGCATCTCTCGCATTTTAGAAGTTCCTTCGCTTCGGTCATGATCTTCGTGACCAGACACTCGAGATTGTTCTGTTCTTCGAATATGTTTCTGGCCAGATTCAAGAGGATCTGATTTCTGCGGTACTCTTGCACCGACAGCTCGAATAGCTGGGCATTTTGTATGCCTATTCCGCAAAATGTTAGGTACCTGAAATTGGTTTTGTCATACAAACATTGGACAATACTCTGTGGAATACTTTATACTCGGCCAGTATATGAAGCGTATTCTTCATTTACATATATCTGCATATAGAGTCTACTCTCCATCTATATTCGTAACATAAAATGTTCAGTGTCACTGTTCACTGTAGTGTAAAGTTTGCAGTATCAACTTCTATTATAATCTTATGATTGTTCATTCACCTTTGGAACACTTCCACGTCTCTATCAGTGAACTCATTGCTGCCGTTAGTCTTATTTATAATCTGAGCCACTCCGATCACGTCTCCCTCGTAATTGCAGATAGGCATGGACAGAATCAGTGTCGTTTTGTAGCCTGTTCTCATATCGATGGAACTGTTGAATCTTGGATCCTGGAAAGAAGCATGCAAACATCTGCTATTGTCTGAGAAATCACGATAGCCTGAAAATACAAGCGTTATCATCCTTCACGATTAATTCCACGAGGGATTTCGAAGCAGTTAATTCCGCACAACCAGAACCAATTTCCTCGAACCTTGTAAGCATCCTTGATGTTGATGATTTCCTTGGTTTGAGCCACGTAGCCAGCAATGCCAACTCCAAAAGGGATCTTGATTTCTTCGTTCTTTGCTCTCTGGATTGCCTCTTCCAACTCGGTGTCCTGCGTCACGTCGAACAGTTTTGCCACCAAGTATCTGTCCTCGAAAGGCCCTTTAGCCAGGAAAAGGCTGCCACGATCGGCGTGAGTGAGCAGACCAACGTTCACCAGTATCTTGTGGCAGAGCACGTTGATATCCAGCTCGTTCGCCACGTCTCTGATCAGCTCCATGAACAAATCACTCTCGTCCAACCTGTTGAGCTCTTCCCTTCGTCCAACTAAACTCGAATACGTCCTAAATTTCGCATAGACGATAATTTCTTAGAAGTATTCCACAAACCTTGTGAAATTTAGTCGTAAGCATTCAGGGCTGAATTTAGAATTTATTTTCTACGAATCTATCGTTATACTTGTTAACAGGTTCGATGGGATACTTCGAAGCTGTACTACCACGTGCAAATATTTCCTCGCCCATAGAATAAATATGGAAAAATAAATATTTTGCCGAAAACGGTAGGAGCAATTTCTCCATAAAATTCTTCGCGAAAAATTTCTCACATTTACAAATTACGTAAGGGAGTACGAATGGGTGCATGAATATTTATGCTAAACGTTACACGTTACAATTATCCCTTCAATATACGTACAACTATGTCTAAAGTAAGATAGAATTAGGTTTAATTCTCTTAAGTGTCGATTTAATTTAAGTAAATCCAGTTAAATTACTGTCTTTAAGTTCAGTTAAGTAGGTGAAATATTTATGTTTATTTCAAGAACTATTCATAGCCCGAGTTAAGTATAGCACTGAAAGGGTCGAAGATCGATGTTAATTCACCTGCTGGGACTTTTGCTGCGCTTCGCCGGTGAACTGGAGGCCAGCCAGCTCTGGAACAGGTCAGAAGTGACGCTGTTCCGTTTGCTCCGGCTGAGAAGGCTCTCTTCCTGGTGCGTGCTCCTCGGCGACGACTTGGATTGAACCACGGCCATGCCTTGAAGCCGTTGACGAAGCTCGAGGCTCGCTTTTTCGCGGAGCCAGGCCTCCGCAGCATCCGGATGTGCCTCGAGGTACCTTTTTCGAAAAATACCACGATCAGAAATACAATTTCGATCGTTTCATAGTACACCGAAACTCGTAGTACTAGGGTTGAAATTATAAAATCGCCTCGAGGACTCCGTTTATTAAGTTCTTCGCGAGATCCCCTGAGAAGAACTAAGGAATGGTTTTGTGTCTGCTGATGAATTTCAATTGCGAAAAATTATATCAGAAGATAGAAAATGACGGAACATTAATTGGCCAGGTGTGTGAATGTATTTAAACTTAATGGTAAATTATATTTATTATTTTTGGTACCTTTCCTCTTTGAAATTCGATTATTTTGTTAGAGGAGTAGTATCCTGTTGTTTTTTAAGTTTGAGAAGTTTTAATATTTTGTCTGAAAAGTTTATTTTAATTAAAAATTACGCGTTGTTTGAGGAAAGGAGGCTGTTCTTAAATAATACTTAGAAATTATTTTAAATTATTAGAAACACCCGAGCGAAGTTTCTACGTTCAGGCCTCTCTTTCTTCTTCTAAAGAGATGTAATTTTACGTCAACATTCGTGAATCTACGTGAAATTAAAATAATCGCAGTTTTTGAGGCAGTGTCTATAAATTTGGTGACGGAATCAGGACGCTAGTGCTATTAAAGCTACGTTTCAGGTATAATGGTAACGAGATCGTAAAATGCAAATGGCGGAACTTGGATCATTCTAGGAAATAAATTCAGATGGAAGGAGAATGGGTAATTAAAATATGGGAGGAATCAATGTTCTTACCTTCCGACCTTCTCCATAGTGAGTCCATCATCCTCGTCGTACTCGTGTATAGTATCCTGGCAGATGATCCTCTTGCTCCTGCAGATCCTGACGATCTCACTGTCCTTCGCGTCAGTCTTGATGCTGGTGCTTAAAGGTAATTTTGATTCTTCCTGCGTCTTCGTCTCGCCGGGATCCTTGCACGGAACAATGATTTCCGGTTCTTCCAGGTTCGGCGAGCGCACCAGCTGGCACTCGCTTCGCTCTGCCGTCTTCGAGGACATCGGTTTCGTGGAAATTTTCATCGTCTCGAACCTCTCTATGTTATCATTCCGGTTCACCTACGCCATTTTTGGAATCCTTGCATTGCTTTCTTTCTTTTCACTTGCTTAGTTGCCGATATTAACCCTTTGCCGATGGCAGCCATTTTTGCATTTTTCTAGACCTTGGAAATATTTTTTCACTGGTGGAGTTTATGACGATGATTTCTAGATTTTGGAGCTTGGAGTTTATGACGATTTTTAGATTTTTAGGTCCTCAGATTCTTAGAATTTTAGATTTTTAGATTCTTAGAATTTTAGGTTCTCAGATTCTTAGAATTTTAAATTCTTAGATTCTTAGATTCTTAGACTCTTAGATTGTTAGATTCCTAGATTTTTAGATTCTCAGATTCTTAGAATTTTAGATTTTTAGATTTCAAGATTCTCAGATTCTTAGAATTTTAGATTTCTAGATTCTTAGATTCTTAGATTTTTAGATTCTTAGAATTTTAGATTTTTAGATTCCAAGATTCACAGATTCTTAGAATTTTAGATTTCTAGATTCCTAGATTCTTAGATTTCTAGATTCATAGATTCCTAGATTCCTAGATTCTTAGATTCTTAGATTTCTAGATTCTTAAATCTTAGGAGTCTACGACGATATTTAGATTTTGAACCATACGACGATATTTAAATTCCTAAATTTAAAAAAATGGACATGTTCTGGAAGATTGTATTACGTTATATAAACTACAAATTTTATGTTACATTAGCAAATTTTATCCATTATTATAAAAAGAAACTACTCTGTTAAATAATTTCGAAGATCCATTCTCCTTGAGGGATTAGAATATTCGCCAATTATTTCCACTCATAATTTGTTCATCAGCAAAGGGTTAAAACACATGGAACAAAGGTTCCAAACATCCTCTAACTATCCGACCCCTTATTAAAATTTTTCCCCAACGATTCAGACATTCGTAAATACCTACAATATTTCCCTATTCTCACGTTCTTCGCGATTCTCCTTTAAAAAACGGCCAACAAACGAAACATCCCCCGACTCTTCCTTCCCCTATTTGCTTTCCCTTATTTCTCTGTTTTTCTCTTGTTTCTTAGAGGGATTATCGTACCTCTGTATGTTTCACCTCCGGCAGCTCTTCGTCCACTTCGTCTTCGGACTCCATATCATCTTACGTCTGAATTAATTAGCATTGAGCACGATGGTAGCTGCTTCGCTAGGCTTTAACACGCGGAGCCCTCGGGAGAACGAGGTGAGAGGACACTTCGCATTGTAACCCCTTCGCTTTGTTAAACTTTACGGGCTCTTTGGGCCGCGACGCGAGTCCCAGACACACGGAACCTGAAACGAGTATTCCTTTCGCAGACTGTCTCCAGCCTGATAACAGAATTCACCGTTGGACTTTGCTCCACGTTCCGCATTCGCGAAACTTATGAATTTCACGGCAAAGAGACGACTGAAATGCGACTGTAAGTACCAGCAATTAACCCTTTGCGCACCATGCAATATTCTGTAATAAATTTATTCCCGTTTCTGGCAATTTCCTATGGCAATTTCGAGAAATTAATAGAGTTACATCACTCATTTTTAAGGCAAATTTTGGTTTAGGTTATTAGAAATTATATAGACTGGATGAAGGAATTTTTAAGAAATATTTCCATTTGTTATGGTAGTAATAATAATACAAATTAAGTTTCTTTGACTATATAAGTACTTGTAATTAACTCTTTGTACCTGTAATAAATTTATCCTCGTTTCTGGCAATTTCTTATGGTAATTTCGAGAAATTAGAGTTATCGAATTATAGAATGATATTCTTCGCTCATTTTTAGGGCAAATTTTGGTTTAAGTTATTAGAAATTATATAGACTGGATGAAGGAATTTTTCCATTTGTTATGGTAGTAATAATAATACAAATTAAGTTTCTTTGACTATATAAGTACCTGTAATTAACCCTTTGTACCTGTAATAAATTTATCCTCGTTTCTGGCAATTTCTTATGGTAATTTCGAGAAATTAGAGTTATCGAATTATAGAATGATATTCTTCGCTCATTTTTAGGGCAAATTTTGGTTTAAGTTATTAGAAATTATATAGACTGGATGAAGGAATTTTTAAGAAATATTTCCATTTGTTATGGTAGTAATAATAATACAAATTAAGTTTCTTTGTCTATATAAGTACCTGCAATTAACCCTTTGTACCTGTAATAAATTTATCCCCGTTTCCTTCGCGGATAGATTTGACTTCATAGCAATTTTAAGAAATTAGTAGAGTTATCGAATTATAGAATGATATTCTTCATTCATTTTTAGAGCGAATTATGGTTTAGGTTATTGGAGAAGTATTGAGAATTGAGTAAATTAATGGGACTCGATGATGGAATTTTTAAGGAGTATTTTCTTTTATTGTGGTGGTAATAATAATACAGGGAAATTAAATTTCTTTATATGGTCGAAGGAACGCTTGTCCTTTTATTGAACTAACTTTTATTTTAATCTTTTATATTAATATTTTTATTTTATATTAATATTTTATATTAATCTCGTTTCGAGGCCCAATTAAAGCTCCAGGCCCCCGGCGATCAACGAGTTTGCCCATACGTTAAAACGCCCCTGGTAATTGGCAAAGTTTGGAATTAAAGTAACGAAAGGATGTAATTTTTCTCGATTCTTGGTAGAAGTAGATGTAAAGCGTAATTATCGAAAATGGAATATTTATGGCCCGATAAAACTATCTTCATCATACTTCCGATTACGATCCTTTTAAGTAACTTAGGAATAAGAAAGTACTTAAAAAATCTGAAAATAATTACAGAAAAATGATGGTAGAATAATTATAGAATTATGGAGTTAAGGAATTATTCAAATTAATTAATAATTTTTTTTAAGCAATACAAGGATAACACAGAGTGTAAGAAATCTTGCAATTATT